GAGAGAGAGAGAGAGAGAAAAGAGAGAGATAGTTTTAGAACTTTTTTCTAAGTCACATCCTTGGACCAGAGGTCAAATGGTGTGAATAAAGCAGTCTCCGAGAATGTCTTGTCTAACCAAACAAGCACGAAGCTATCCCCCACATTCTCTTTTAATCTTATCACTATAGCCCCGCTTGTCTTCGTGAGAAAGAAAGACTTTGGTCTCATTTCATTTCCTTTTCATTAGCGGGCAGGAAAACGTTGGCGAACAGCCCCACCACCACCACTCGCACTCTAATTTCATTAACAACCTTTTTCAATTCCGTGCAAGGACGGGCAATTGGATCACAAAAACACCTCAAGTCTCGTCATGATTCTCGGAGAAGAGTTCACACAAAAATGGGATGGGGCAAGATTGGGTAACTTTGTCCATGTCTTGTAAAATGCAAATCAAAGCGACGGCCAGGGAAATTTGGGGTGGGGGATTTGGGGAGAGGGGGGGGGATGGGTCAACGAGATGGCGTACTCTTAAATCTCATCTTCTGATTCTTTTTTTTTTGTGTGCGTGTGTGTGTGTGTGTGTGTGTGTGTGTGTATGTGCTTTTTAATGAAATGAAAAGAAAACAATTTTAAAATTTCCCTCCCGGATTTGAGCGCGATCTGATGTCCTCTCGCTGGGCACAGACGAGTGGTCAAACACAGGCGCGTACAAACGAGGACAGGACGCGAGTGCAGGTCGTTTTCGAGCCGTTTTCTTTCCTTCCCTCCTCCTTGTTGGGACAACTTCCAGCAAAAACTTTCCTCCAGCGACAAAAGATCGATGCCTTTTTTGCATTTGTGTCCCAAAGCCGTGGCGGAATCAGGCGCTCGTCAGTTTTTGGGCGTGTGGAGGTTTTGGTATCATCTTAAACCATGTTCTTTTGGCTCGCTTTAGGTTTATTTTTTAAAATACCCATCTATCTTGAAGAGAAGTTGAGATATAAATTTGCGATTGAAAGATGTTGAAGTAGAATGGTTTTAGGGGTAAACGTAGCAAGAAAATGGCCACCAAAGTCTTGGTGACTTTCATAGCTGGAGAGTCCCTGGAAACTGAAAATGTACATTTTTGTGCCTTTTACCAACTTTTTTTCAGTACAATCCATACAGAAATATGTTTTAGATGGACATAAAAAATTTTGAGCCAAAAAAAAAAATTGTAATTTTAAAATGTCCAAACTGGTGGGTAAATGCCCGTTTTTTTTCGATTTCATTATTATGACAAGCGCCTGATTTCACCACGATGCCTCACATATAGTTCCAAGAAGCATCTTGCGTTTTGAACACAGCTAAAGTACCGCCCCTCCCGTTAAAGGAAGTGGGGACACAGTTCCGCCATTTGTCAGTGTTTGCTTTAATTTGGGATCTCTGTCGGTCCACACGTGCCGGTAAAAGCTTGAGTGATACAACTTCTTAATTAGACGATGCTCGGAATTTTGATTCGTGTATTTCCATTTCCTCGTTACTTTCCCCCTCCCCCTTGTGTTTTGATTAAAACGTTACGCCGCGCGCTCTGTTTGGGGAAACGAGGGTCTCTTATTGAGGGGGCGGTCTGTGAGTGTGTCAAGGACTTTGTTTTTACTCCTCTCTCGAAACAAAGAAGGAAGGACATCGAGCGGCAGACGACGAGCATGTCTTGTATCTTTGGACACGTAATTTGATTCCTCTCCCTCTGTATGTCTCTCTCTCTCTCTCTCTCTCTCTCTCTCTCTCTCTCTTCTCTCTCTCATCTCTCACTTTCTCTCTGTCTCTCACTCTTTCTCTCGCTATGTCT